GATTTTTCCGTGGCTAGCATAACCTGGGACAGAAGAGGAAATCTTTGTGAATACATTCAAGAGTCCTGTTTAGGAAGTTATTTGTTTCATTTAACAAATACTTTGTTATATCCACAACATGACAGCAACTAACTAACTACCAACAGTTGCTAGAAAACAAAACTAAAATGTATTTTTGACACTGACAGCAAAGCCAAAAAGTCAAGTTAAGGATCAGACTCAAAGGATACCAAGGGCAGGTCTAAAGTGGAGCGTTCTGGGCCACACTAGAATTCCTGTGTTGTGAAGCATTAGAGATCATTTGGCCTGCCAAGCCTTTTCACTTCTTTCAATGTCCTCTTAAACTCTGCTTTTCTTTCATCCAGTATTTAATGCAGTATAGCCTATATTTAATACAAACACATAGTACTTGGCTGTTATTTTGCATAAGCAAATGCTCAGTTTTCCCACTAAAAAACGACTGTAAGACTCCCTCGCTGTGCCTTACTTTCTTCATAGGTAAAATGAAATTCTTCCAGGAAGGAGTAGTTTCTACAGGTCAGTCTATGCTTCTAGGGTAATGGAAGACTTAAATAGTCAAAGGGAATACATGAAAATCAAACGAGGATTTCCCAAAGGACTTTATAGTCCCTATTCTTTAAAGATATAAAAATTTACATAACAACTAATTTTACCTGGCAGCGGTGATCTTTCTTTAAAATAATATTATTAAAAATGTGCATGTTGAGTCAGGAGGAACATAAAAATGTGTTGTGTTGGTACACTCTCGTTTGTTGTTGCATTGAAGGTAGTGTGTCAAGCTCTGACTAAAGTATGAAGGCTTTGGAAATACATCACATGGTTACTGTCTACCTCTTTGGCCATGACAGTGAAATGAATGGCAAAGTTGATCTTGTGTCAGGTGGTTTCCTTGCTAAAATGTTATCCTTAGAATCAGCCTTGCTTTTATCAAGGTGATCCTAATCCTGAATTAAATGCCTGAGAAGTTATACGGAGTCTATTATCAGAGAATGCACATTCAACAGTTTTCAGGTCAAACTATTAAGGCTGTGATAACTACTGAGGTCTAAATTATCTGAGAATCAGATGCTCTGCCCACGTGATTCATTGAGGTACATGGAACATCCAAACATGATCTTTGGTTTGATAATCAAATCCATTCCTTGCTTCTTGATTTACAATATGGTAATTCAAGAGTAATAATGCTGCTTTGGACCAATCCCCTTTTTATACCTTTATAAGCCATTTATTATACTATAAAGTATTGAATATATGCTAAGTCAAAAAAGACTTCCGATCAATAGTTTTGAATTGCTGGTCTACCATAGTACAAATGTTAAAGCAGTTTTTCATTTGCTTGAATTACCTTAAGTATATAGCTTTAGTACATAGTTGAATATTATGAAATCCGCCCCAAGCTATCTTACCCTGGTGGAATTTCCATTTCTTTTAAATCCCACCCTCCCGCTTCCAGCAATGCAGGATTACTGGCCAAACTAATGTATTTCCATTATGCACTGGAGACAACCTATATAAAGTTATCTGCCTATATTATAGGGGAAGCTATTAATATTTCATTTCCTAAGAATATCTGGTGAGACTTAAGAGAACCATGTAAACTCACCGACAAATTGGAAAAACTACTTTTAGCAAATAACGAAGTAAGAAGCAGTAAAGAGACTCTCCTAACAAACTGTATTTTAATATGTCCCATACTTGAGTGTAAGCCTGTGCAATGCATTATTTTCAGGAACTTCACATAAACTTGATAACTTTCATTGTTCCTGAAATGAAGAGTTGTTTTTATGTGCAGATAGCATAATTCATTTATGAGCCCCTCTGATTTGTTGTTTGCGTACTCTTCATGTCTTCATATTTAGGCTGAAAGTGCTCCCACTGAAGTGCTTTGCTATGTTAATTGATAAAAACTAAATACTTCCTATTATCCTCTTTTTGAAAAATAATGTGCTGACATACCAAATTAATTTAACATACCCATTAACTAACGTATTGGCTAGGTAATAGATATATTAAAACATGGTTTAAGCATGTGGAACTTTATTTGCTACATTGCTAGCAATAAATCTAAAAGACTAGCATTAATGTTATGAAAATGAAATATTATATGTCAAAAACATTTAGATGAATAGAAAAGGAGAAAAGAGGAATCTCCCTTGAATATAATAAAATAATAGGAAGATACAACAGCTTTATGATTTTTCCTCTTGACATTTAGCTGCAAGAAAAAATTTTATAATGAAAATGTTTTAATTTAAGAGACGGCCTAGGGTAGAATCCAACAATTACAATTTTTGCTTCTTGTAAAGAGAGCCATTCAGAATGAATTTTTATTTCTAAATAAAAGGCCTCAAATTAAGCAAAAAGTACATATGTGTATTTACAATAATTCCTATTAAATTTCAAATGTTTCCCTCATATAAAAACAATTTTTAGGTTGTTGCAATGTGTAATTTTTTATTAGATTACAAATGTAAGGAAGTGTCAGCATTAATCTAACATGGTCTGAACATTAAGTTTTCAAAATTCTTAATCTGTCAAAATATGTATTTAATCCTCCCCCCTATCCATACATAGCCTGAACATACGTCTCAATCTTTTCTTTGTATTATTAAAATGACTGATACATTTTTAAAAAAGCATGTCTTCACTCACTGTCTTATTCAGGGTACTACTAACGCTACAACATAAAAAGAAAAAGCAAACAGTATTATGCAGAAGGAGACTAAGTTTTATATAGTGCTCTGTATTAAAAATCTGTATTTGAATCTTAAAAATGTTCGCACCAAAGGAAAGACAAAATGGTCTTGCTTTGCCATCTCTCACAGAGCAGCCTGGCAAGATTTTCATTTGCCGTGTTTCATCGTTCACTTGGACAGGAACCTCTTAACTGTTTTCTTTAATGGTTTTTCTCTCTCTTGCTTCCAAACCAGCCTGTGCGCGCGCACGTGCACACATACGCGCGCGCACACACACACGCACACGCTTTTTTCCCTGTAGTCTCTGCAGTAAACGCTACCATAGTCATTTCATGCAGCCGTCTGCCAGTGGGTGATAGAAAATGCTGATTGAGAAAAGGTTTAGCTACTTCATATCCAAAATCCGTGAACCATTAAGGAAATTATAAAAAGCTGCAACGATACACTCTGGTTTTATGCAGAACCTTTTTCCTTAGCGATTATTAAAAGGATGATATTTTTAGCCCCAGAAAGCAAAATGCATCTGCAGCAGCTGGTTTCCAAGGAAACAGAATAATTTAGAACCATGTGGAACTCTGCTCTCTAATTTTCATCAATTCTTCTTCAATCCTGGAGGTAGCTTTACTCGTAACTTATAATTTCCAAAAAATATATAACTGCCTTGACTTATTTTCTCTGACACATTACAGGAGAATACTTACCTAATATATCGCCTTAAATTCCAACCTGTGGGGGTGGATTAATTTCTACTGTCGTTTTGTTTTAAAAACCAAAATAAGAAGAATCCATCCACACTTAGAAACATGGCAATATTTTGGCATCATATAATGATTTTTAAAGTCCAGAAACAGTTCAAATTCAGACTGCAAAAGAGTATTGTTCGAGTCAATATAACACTTAAGTGTGTAAACATACTATTAGCTACATTCAGTTCATTTAAGAAATTAAGATAGTTCTCCATTCATCCACAGAATCTTTTCCCAATATTTAGTAGTTTTTCTCCACTTCTTTAATTTTGCAAGAACAGTTATGTTTTTGTGTGCTTTTCAAAGACAAAATCGGTCTCAAGCAAAAACAAAAAAAATCTTTAAAAATTATATACATTCATTCCTATTAGTTTGTGATGCATTCAGAAGCAATATTTATAAAATGTATTAACAAATCATTTACATCACTGAAAGACTCATTTATTATTATAATCAACAAGTATTAATTGATTGCCAGCGTGCCCAAGTCAGTAATAACCTTTCTTAAATGAAGTTTTATTTAAATGAGATTCCCACACCCTTAATTAACCTATACCTATGAATTAAAATAAATATAAAATTAAATGACTTGGAGTAAAATTATTTTTCTTATGTCGTTACTGGAAGTGTGTCATTTAGTCCATATTTAGAACTCTCCCCTGTTTTCCCTAGGGGAAAATAAAGACACTATATAAGAGATGTAAGCAACTGGTAAAGTAAAATCTTAACTTTTGATCTGTTAAAGAAATCCTTTGCATATTACCAATAGTATACATGGAATTCTAGATATATTTGACTGATAAATAAAAGTACCAATAAACCTTGCCTATTAAGATGCTATTCTTCATATAGAAGTAATATTTAATCCTTCACAAACAGGTTTCTGAGCTTTTAAAATGAGAACAGCCACATGCATGTTGATAAATGCAGATAGTTGTTTGTCATATAAGCTTACAATTTACTAAATTAAATGATACAACTACTCAGTAGCATGAGATGGAGAAGTAAATTAAAGGACTTAAATGCACACAAATCATTCGGTCTAAATTAGTGCTACAAGAGTCTACCACGTGCAAAAATTATTTTCCCAAACCATTTATTGCATTGTAAATATTAAAAGACAACACATGAAATTTTATATTGTATATGCAAAGCTCCATTTTCTCAGGACCTGTGGAATTTGCCTAGCTCACCCCATCCTTGCTCTGATTCCCAGTAACATAAGCTTGCATAAAAACAAACCCACCAAAGCACATGATAACTCATTTTATCTATTAATTCGGTTCAATATCACTTTCTTAGAAAGTTATCCAAGATAACACATGCCTCTGGTGGTTTTTTCAGCCAAGGGTTTTGCAGGGAGAAAAGAACAGCTCATTGCAAAGCTTCCTCAGTGATGGAAGGGACACACTTTTGGGAAATGCTTTCAGAATCATTTCCCTATCATAAAATTGTCTCAGTAGAAATTGAGGAGCATTCTATTTGGAAGAAAAAGATGTTTTCCCCATTTTTTTTTTTTTTTTTTTTTGGTTCTTACCTGTAAATATGGTTTCTGGACTTCGGCTCCGTCAGAACAGACTGAGTTGTCGGCTCCTCCCTCGACTATCCATCAGCGAGCAGCTGACCAATCACAAAAGCCAGATCCTGGCATTCTCCATTGGCTCATGCTTCCTGCTCTGCTTCTAGCCCCGCTTTCCTCCCACCCCCACTGTCTAGAGGACAAATCCTTGCAGCTGGGAGGGAGGGCGGGAGCGGAGGGAAGGAATATGGAGAGAGGAAAGGGGGAAAAAGATGAAAGCTGTTTCAAAGAATAGCTCCAAATTATGGGAAATACCTGCAGGTGAACTCAGCCTAAGTAAAATGTCTGGCTCTGCATTTAGGAAAGCAGGGCTAATCAGTGCCTCCCCCATCTGAAATCAAAGCACAAGTCATGGAAAAACCTAGGTAAATGGCCTATATTTTCAGCTCCCACTGATTTTTCTCAGTGAAAAAAAAAAAATTTACCTCCTCCTGGTACATTTTGATACGATAGAGGAGGTTGCACCTGAACATCAACAGTATGCATATACAGTTTGCAAAGAGAGAGAATGAGTCAAGATCCTTTACATTAATGCAGCGTATTATTGCATTGTTTGCACTGGTGCCATTTAAAACCAGTTTCAGAACCTAATCAGGATGAAAAAGATAATTCTTGCTGGAAATCAGAATAGTAAAATATTGCAGTTATGTGGTTTGCAGTACTTCGGATTCCTTCAATGCTTGCATCAATTTGCCTTTGTGAATAACGGAGCTTGTGAAAGATTAAAAAGGGATCAGTCTCTTAGTTGCCACGTCTCTAAGTAACTAATTGTACTCCAGTTTTATTCACTAGCCTGGAGCAAAATCATTTTACTTCTGAACTAAGAAGCACAACGCACACGAAAGGACAATTGAGGAAAACATTGTTAGAATTATACAAGACAACAGAGCAAATCCACAGTTTAAAGGAGGCTAGGATGGAATTAACACATACCTCATTATTATATACGGATTGAATTCCTAATTTTAAACTTTAATACCAAACTGGCTTTTTATAACAAAAAGTGCTACTCATTGAGCTTCCGCTAGAAGAAGGGGTCTGTTAAAGTTTCCTCGAGGAGACATAAATTAAAAATGGACGTTATCTCTATCTTCGCAGTATGGACTTTCTATCTGAGCTACAGGCTTTGCTACTCAAGTCCTTAAATCTGTAACGGCCTCACGGAAATCAGACCAAAGGGAGACAAAAGAAATAAAAGGACGAGAAAGTTTTGATCTCTAAGAGCACCTGGCCGGAGGGTGCATCATTGGAGGCCCGGGAGTAATTGCAGGAAAGGGTTCAGGAGTGTCGTCTGGTTAGGAGGGGGCGGGGCTGGTCACGTGACCTGAAAAGGACTTTAGAGGGAAGCGCTCTGGTTTCCGCCTTGTCTGAACAGCTACTGGGACTCACCTTGAGAGACCCTGCTAGAGATAAGGGGGAGGCCAGACTGCCCTTTCCTCCTACCCCCACGCCCTCCGCTGTGGAAGTGCTTTCCAAGCCTCTGCGGACCCACTGCTCCGACTAGCTGGGGGCATCGTGAGGGCGGCGTTTCTTAAAGCGGGAGCGTGCGGCCCTCGCCCCGGCATCCTTGCTGGGAGGCTTCTTTAAAGGCAGGTCTGTGAATCTCGGCCGGGACGCGAGGACTCGGCAGTTGGGGAGTTTGCTAGCACTTCTCTGGCCAGCTCTCCCCGGGGTTTTTAAAATGCCACTACGCTGTGGGTCAGCGACTCAGCACACAAGTGTTCCTTAAACACAAAGTGTGACCAACATTCTCCTGGTCATGTTGTAGGGAGGGGGTCTTTCGCAGCCCTCCTCCGTCACACAGGACAAGCAATATGAAGCAAGATGAGAAGGCCAGAAGATAGTTTTATTTAGCAAGGAGAAAGTACACCGTCCAAGACAGCAGGCAGCGCGCGAGGCCAGGACCAGCCCTGCTTATCTGGATTCTTGCTGGTTCAGTAGGAAGTGTGCACGGTGGGTTGACAAACAGGTTCAGACCGTGTCACTGCTCCTGCTCCGCGCATGCTCTTGCTCATAATGCAGACAGAAAATCCCACAGGAGCAGCGGGTGATTCCAACGATCGTGTGATGGACCAAGGTTGTTCTTGACCATGTCTCGGTGTCCTTGGTGCAGGCCTCAGCCTTGGGGCTTTCCTGGCTCTGCCTTACTGCTCGTTTTAGGAAAAAGAATGGGTATAAATCTACCTAGAAGGTTTTTCTTTCTTCATTTCTCCTGCTCATATCTTACTAACTGCCTGCTCTAACAGTTAGACTATGGCACCATTATCTCAGAGGAAGAAAAAGAGAGGTTTGGGTGAAAAATAACAAATCTATTTTGGACATTTTGAAATTTTTGTATATCCAGATAGAAATATTTAGTAGTCAGGTGAAATCGTGGGTAGGTCTCGGGGGTAGTCTAATCTGGAAAGCATCTAGAGCGTGGGTTAAAGCAGTGAGGGTGATGGGTACCCCAAGGGCAGAGCTTCTCAAAATCGTAGCTCAGGAAACTCCTTTCGCGGAATTAAAAATGCAGGCTAACAGACTCCATTCAACACCTACTGAATTTGGAGTGGGGCTTAAGAAGTTCCATTTTTAATAAATTTCCACCCAACTTTCCTTGTACACTGATGTTTGAAAACCATCACTTTAGAAAAAGAAGTAGATTTGAAACAGGATTGAATAGGATTAAGTCTTCCTGACTATGAAGAAAAATGCTGAGATGTAAACAGTATGTAAGAAGAGGAGGGACCCCATTTTAAGGCTAAGATGCCATTTTAAAAACCAGAGTTAGGAGGTAAGATTTACAGTGATTAGCCAACAACTGACTCCATCGTAAGTAAAGGCAAGCAGTTCTAAATGGCATGTTCTCACTGCTTGAGGGAAACCAATATCTTGGAGGAGACCAGGACTAATAGATTCCTTGTTAAGTTTATTTTACAGAATATCTAGAGGACTACAGATGAGGACACAATGTTTCTCACTGTAAACATCATGAGACCATGTCAAGCCTATGTCCCTTGGCCCTTTACCCTATTCTTGAAATCCTTAAAAACCCAAATCCTTAACCTTTAAGTGCACCTCCTCTCTGAAGTTGCCCACACCCCCTTCTGAGTGTGTACTATCTTATCAAATAAACTTTCCTGTTGCATTCCTATTGTTGCTTATTGCACTTCTTCTCTGAACTCTTTTTCATGAAAAATTAAATAACTCACCGACCTCCACCTCTGATGGTAAATGTCTTTGTTATTTGCTATTTCATTCCGTTTTCTAGTCGTAAGCCCAAGTCTTCTCTCTGTGCGTTCTATTTCACACAAGTAGGGAAGGTCTACTGAGATCTCTGATATGGCTTGCAAGTTCCCATTGACTCAGCGACCCCGACAAAGCTGTGGCTGTGTCATCTTGCTCTTTAGCAGCCTGAATGAACACTCCTTTCTTTGCCTTGGGAAGTTCTTAGAACATAGTCTCACTCCATCCAGGGCTCTGCAGCTCCCCCAGATTCTGGGGCGGTAGGAGCTTAGTTCCCACACCCTGCAGATTCAAGCAGACACTGGACACCAGGTGACCCTGACTTTAGGAGTTGGGGAGGGATTTTTCCCTATGCTGAGCAGGAGTTCAATGAACTTTCCTTTCTGCTCTCTGGTCTTCCTTGCTCTCTGCTGCCTGCATGGCTGCTGCCATTCACTACTACTCTCACTTTAATGAATTCCTTCCTTAACTGCACTTGTCTGACCTGTTCACGACTGACCAGGTCATCTTTCTTGATCAGAGCCAAGGGCCCTCTCCCAAGTCGAGGGCTCACCTAGCGTGCAGGGAGATCTTTCCAGATTGGATTGCCCAACAACAGATTGATAATGAAACTCTGGGGATTACTTAAATTTAAAAACACAGAAAGTGGAATGAAGAAAACATTGCTAGGGGAAACAGTTAGCAAAAAGCGGAGCCAAGAGAGCAGCGTAGCGAAAGGCAAAGGAGTAGAGGATTTAGGGAAGATGCCCTAGAGGCCAATGCAAGGTGAGCCCCTTGCTACGTCAAGCACCGTTCACGGAGGTCAGCTTACAATCCCCCAGAGCTAGTTATGATGTAGATTTTCAGACCTTGAATCACAGCCTGTATTTTAACAAGATCCCCAGGTTAGTAGTATGCACATTTATGTTTAATTTTTTAAATTTTTTTAATTGAAATATACTTGACACGTGACACTGTGTAAATTAAGCTGTATGTGTTAATTTGATACATTTATATATGCAATATGATTGCCATTGTTACATTTATATATATGCAATATGATTGTCATTGTAGTGGTAATTAGCACCTCTATTTGTGTTACATAATAATCATTTTAGTAGTTGGAATAATAACAAAGTTCTAGTCTCTCAACAAGTTTGATGATTGCAATATTGTTGTCTATATTCATTGCATTGTGTGTTCTATCTCTAGGGATTATTTACTACTTGTAAATTTGTACCCTTAAACAATACTTATCCTGTCTCCCTGTGCCCATCCCCCTAAACATTATATTCTGTTTAAAAAGTCTGGCTTTTTAAAATTCCACATATAAGTGATAGCATACAGTACTTGTCTTTCTCTGACTTAAGTTTTAGAAGCACTTCTGTCATCCATTGAATTTGACTTAAAGTTCTTGATGAATGAAAGCATTTCAGCTCAGTGGCTGTAGTGGGAGGCAGACTGAAGTGGTTTTAAGAATGAATGGGAGATAAAGAAATGGAGATAAGTTCAGTGCTCTATGGGCACCCAGACCAAGAATCTTTTAGCACATCGATCACCAGGTGTCTCTTCAACTCAAAGAAGCTGAATATGAGCCGAGCATAAAGCGACCTTGCCTGCTGCGGCAGGCCTCTACCCCGCCCACTCCTCTGACAGAAGTGATGGGAACAGAGGCTGAGAGCGATGGAGGAGATGCCCTCCTAGGAGGAGTGGTGGTGGGACATTTGCTCACCTCAGGAACCCAGCAGCCTGTTGCCAGACGCAAAGGTAAGGGATCTCAGAGTCTGAATGACTTTAAAAGTCCTTCATGACAA